GGAGGGGAAAAAATGAGGAGCTGATACCAGGGGCTTAGGTGGAGAGCAAATGGTTTGATAATGATGAGGGCAATGAATGTACAAATGTGCTTTACACAACTGATGTATATACGGATTGTGATAAGAGTTGTATGAGCACCTAATAAAACGATGGAAAAAAAGGTAATCAAGAATCTAATTTTCTTTGTACACAAAAGAAAATGAGGTGAATCACTGGCATGCCATTCTACCTAATCAAGAGGAGGAAATCCTTTTATTTCATAAATGACTTGTGATTTTAATTTCTGAAAACAGTCCATTAGTCTGTTTCCCAAGAGGAAAGAGTTCTACAGTACATATCCATTTAGGAGTCACTCGTCTCTCAAGTCTGTTCTTTAAGCTCTTCTATTCTTTAAATTATTATATTCCTAGCAATTAGGGCAAAGACAGAGATAGTTCAAGTTCTATCATAATTTAATGGTAAGCAGTTTTGCATTTTCATAATGTTAAATAGCTCCAAATGTGTGATTTACCTCCAGTGGTTGGGAAGGTATTTTTAGCTTGGTAAGATGTGCTTTGCTGCTGGGCTTCAGCTCTGTCATGCTGTTGCCATGGGGCTGGCTGCTGTAGTGCTCGGAGGACAGCTTTGGTTCCAAGGACTCCTGTCCATCCATGGGCCGCACATAGGCAGTGGGTTTCTGTAACATTGAACTGGACTTTGACATCAACGAAGGGGGGAAAGACTGGTTTGAGTGCTGTCCACTTGAAAAAGGTACGCGGGAAGGAGAATCCCAGTTTGCATCAGGGTCCCGAGGCGATTTGGAACGCTGATGTTCCTTGCTATGATGATCATTCCCATGAGACCTGGAATGACTGGAGCTTAATGAAGAAACAGCCTGGGGTTTTCCAGGGCTAGAAGAGCGTGATTTGGAGTGTTCAGATCCATGCTGGCCCTTTTTACGGCTACTGCTCCCACTACTGCTATATGAGTCACGGTCATGCCTCTGGCTACTGCTGGTGGTGCTGCCACTGCCACCTGCGCTGGTCCGTTGGCTGCTGTGTCCACTCTGCACGCCTGAGGACCGTTTCTGAGACTGAGAAGTGCTGGGTGCAGGTCCTACTGGAGTCCATTTGTTACTCTGATGTGAGCTCCCATGTCTCTGTTCAAAGAAATTTGGGTTGGATTTTTCATCTGCAGTTGGTACTGTAGGCTTGGGAATTGCAACAAGCTTTGGTATAGATCTGTCCCCTAATAAATCCTTCATTTCATCGTAGTTTCCAAGCATACTCTGAATGCGACTTGATAACTTGTCTTCTTTGCTAGTCTGCCAAAAAAAGAAAAAGTAAAATAAAATTGTGCAATTAACATAATTGGATATAAAATGCAATTATAAACTGACTTGCCAAACTTCAAATAACAAAAGCAGTTTGTTAACTGGGAGGTTTTACCTCATTCCTTGAGGCTAGCATCTGAAAACAAACTTTAAACATACAACTTTCATAGGGAGACTCATTTAAAAGGTCTAAAGAGAACCACACTAAAATACAAATATTCTATAAGACAATTAAGAAATGGATCCCAGGATCCCAGAAAAACATCTGAATTTCACCAATTAACAAACTAGCACATGGCAAAAACTTGTGAAAAACAGGGGAAGGGAGATTGTGGTCATGCCCTTACATAGCTAAGTTCCATGTCAGAAGAACAGCCAGCACTCATCATTTAACTGTCTGGGACAGAAACCATTGTCAGCCTTGTAATTCAATGTTACAGTTAAAAGCAGAAATAAAAATGGAGTGGGAGTAAGTTTTACCCAAGTGCTATTTTTCCTTTGAACTTTAATACCATAATTCTTCAGGTTAATTAAAATTCCAAATAAGCAAAGAAAGCAAACCAGTGATAAGAATTTGAAATACTGGCTACTAAATTCAAATCAACTAAAACTCTAGCTTTTGAAGTCAATAGTATATATGTTAAAGTTCAAACATTCATTCTAGGGTTATGAGGTTCAAATATACTAGCTCTGGGGGCCACACATTTGCATACAGATAAGAATGGGTCTTGGTTACATGAAAAGTAGAATTCAGGATTGAATCACAACTTATTCTGTGGTTGGTATGAACCTAATTACAATTTGTGATTACCTGAGATTCCTATCCAAATCGAATCCAATTCATTCGTAGTGTAATTGCAAAATAAAGGGTAGTATGAGTCAAAATCTAGAGCAAACTTTTTTCTTTCAGCATGTCTTTGATCTCTGTTCTGGATTGAACTGTGTCCCCAAACATATAAATTGTAAATCCTTCTACCTGTGGTTTTAATCTTACTTGAGAAGGGGTTTTCTTTGCTATGTTAATGAGTCAGTATCAGTGGAGGGTGTGTCTTAAGTCATTCTCTTTGAGATAGAAAAAGTAAGTAATCAAACAAAGAAAGCTGGGGAAAAATAAGATGCCAACACAAGAATTTCTACCAAGGAAGCAAGGAACAAGGACTTTCCTCCTGAGTCAACAGAGAAAGAATACTTTCCTTCCCTAGAGCCAACATTCTGAGAACAGGCTTCTATCTAGCTTCTAACCTGTGAGAAAATAAGTTCTACTTGTTAAAGCCACCCGCTGTGATACTTGTATAATAGCCACATTAGAGTAACTAAGACAGTCTCTAATATAGTTTTGTGTTACACTCACAAAAATGACTGCCAGTATGACTCCCTTTAAATTGGAAAATCCAATTAAACGGGTTGGGGTTGAGTTTCCTTCTGTTTTTGAAACAGAAGGAAAAAAATGAATTTTAAAAAATGGGAAAACCCCTTAAAATCCCTTAAATGGCTTTTTTAGCTCCCACAAATGGTTTCTATTAGCACCAACTATTACGGGGGTACAGACTAAGATATGCTATATTTCTAATATTTCACGTTAAAAAATCTCAACTTCATACTATAAAAGATCTAACTCTCAGCTTCATACAACAAATCGTCATTACTGCTTAAATGCATAGTATTTTTATGATACACAAGATAAGCCTTTAAAATCTCAGGGAAACAATTCAGACAAATCTAAAGTTATATTAAATATTAAGAGGCATGTATGGCCACCACACTTATTAAGTCACCAGAAGTAGTGCCAGTTAATATTCAATGTGATCCCAAATCAAATTCAACCTTACTTTAAAAAAAAAAAAGCAACTGGTTCAGTGCACTAAACACATCTGACAATGTGCTTTAAGATAAATGTCAACAAAAAATACAACAAAAAATGTTAAATTTCATATTGCTAATCTAGCAATAAATGGATCAGAATTAAAATCAGAGAATTTATCCTGACAACAAAAAAATAACTCAATGCACATATATATTGAAATCTACTAATCAAAGCCATTGAAATTTAGTATACTAAGTAACCAAATGATATTGAGTAACAAAATGAGGTACTAAATGTTCATGTTTGATGTTATTCCCCAAAGAGCAACTGGGAAATAAGGAGATAACGCACAATGAGTTACAACAAATTTAACTTAAGGCTCAGAGAGGTGACAGGATGTGCAAGCTTACTGGTATATCAGGAGTACAGAGATGACTGCCAATCCAGACCCTCCTTTAGTAATAAATTCAGGTTGCAGAAGGAGTGGGAAGGAAAGCAGGGTTTCTAAAATGGTGATGCTATTTCATGATTAAGCGTTGACATTCTTTGAGTCACAAAACCTAACTTGGATATTATTTCTGTATGCATGTTATCCACCAATAAAGTTACTCCAAGACATAGTCTTATAATAACAGAAAAGTTACATTATTAAATATATGATCATTCTTTTCAAATACAAGTTTTAGATTAAAACACTTGAAAATGTGCTGTGGTGGGTGTTCGGGGCGGGGCAGAAGACAGGACACACGAAGGGGGCCAACTTACAACTTTGTACGGTTCAGCAAAGAGAGGAGAGCTAGGTGGGAAGGCGTCCTCGCCCTGCTGGATTTCCTGATTCCGCCTTTCCCGTTCTTTCATACGCAGCACATTCCGGTCTTCACGGTTCATGTTGCTATGAAGAGAAAACACAATCTTTATACATCACAAAACAGAAAGGAAAAATTACATTTTCTGTATGTACTGACTTTTGTCAGTTTGAATCAGAAATTCCCTTTCACCTGTCATGTAATAAGTAACAGACACTTGCGCTAATGTTAGGTTTGGGCAATGAATGGTTTAACTGCCTAGTACCAATAGTTCTTCACAATTATCAGAGAGGAAACACTAGCCCAAAATATTCAGGTCCACCCCCATCAAAACATTTAACCTTATTACTTTTCAAAGTGCCCTGGTAGTAAGAGTCAGCTACAACTTGAATGTTCAGAGGGAAGGTGGCACTTAAACCTAAGTCTTCAGAATTTCCTATAAGCCTTCCAGGCTTCTTTTTCCATAATCTAGCTATTCTTTGCCATTAGAAGTTATACAATGCATTCCCACCTGCCACCCCTCTCCCCCGCCATCCCCCCCAGGGGGGCCAGTGGCTTTTCTCTACTTTGCATCTACCTTATCTTGATTTCTTTTTGTCCCAAACACAGCTTCCTTGGTGTCCATCCTTAGGGCAGTTTGACCTCAGCTTTGCTGTTGCTCTAGAGTCCCTAAAAAACGACATTTCTGCTCTAAATATATTAATATTTTAATTAGCACCTCAATAAATGGCAAATCTGAGGCTTTTAGCAATAGAGTCTAAAATTAACTTGGGTTAGTAACAGCAGTTAAAATTGTATTGAAAAAGGAAAAGTTTGGGGGTGGGGAGAAAAAAGTGAATATAATTTCTATTATCATGGAAAGTATGTTCTAGTTTCACAAAGAATAAACCAAGGGAAATAGCATATTATTATAGCAGCAGGGGTTTAGGTAAACAGAGAATAATGATAAAGACTGTCAAGCCCTGGGATAAGGGATTACCAGAGGCTTTGCAACATCCTTTCTGAAAGATGAACAAAATGGTTCTACCATTTCATTTTTTTAAAAGCCCAATCAGAGGTCAAGGGCGGGGGTGGGAGATGGGGGACGTGAGGAAAAGAGCCAGGTTATCCCTTATACTTGTGGAGCAACTCTAACCTGAAGGCCCAATAAATTAAATCTAACTAGAAAATTAAAATCAACTAAGACTGAAAAAGCTATAATTGTAAAATTAGAATGGGCAGCAAAATCTCTCTTGAGGACTTGAATCAGCAGTGAGAATGGTGAAAGTACACATCTAAAGATAAAACTTCCTAATTTACACAATTTAGTCTCATGCAAATAGCTTAGACAAAAATAAACGCTATTGCAAGACAAGGAAACAAGTATGTGGGTTTTTTGGTTTGGTTTGGTTTGGTTTTTTTGGTGTCCTAGCAAATACAGAATCTAGTACCATACTAAACCACAGAAAGTATTTAAATCTTTCTGTAACAGATACTATAAAATATCTACACTTAATCAGGGACTAAAACCCTCTGTTTTTTACATTTCCCTCCTGCACATTTTGAACCAATTAGTAACTGTGCATCACTAACAAGCAAGCTTCAAACAGACCTCTCGAGCTAGTGTTTCCAGCATACCAAGTCACTTGTATCTGATAAAAGGATAAGGAACACGTGAATTACCAATGTCCTAAATTCAATTCCTGAAAGATCAGAAATACCTTCTAAAAAGTTGATTTAAGTTTACATATTCACCAGCACTAGAATAATCATTCAAAAAGTACTTATATAGTACTGCTGCCAGACATGATGTTAAAGATTCCCACAATCAATTCCTTCTAAAATCAAAGTCACAGAAACATTTGCTTTACTCAAGCAATAAAAGCCACCTAACTAAACATTTCTTCTTTTAATAAGGCTGTCAGAAAGTTCGGGCTAAATTAACTGATGCCTGAAAAGCAATAATGCAGCAGCAGCTTTGTAGCTTATGGATATGCCTTTAAGTCTATAGACCATACTCTCTGAGTAGGGCTGCTAAACTGAAGACTAAGTCGCTTTTCACTGGCAGATGCTGAAAACTGGCATGACCATTTTAATAGCTATGTCACCTTTTAAAATACTAGGTACTTAACTGTTGCTACTAATTAAACTATTATTTTCCTATTGAATTACAATTTGCTGACCATTTTTTAAAATCCCATGTCTTTGGGCTAACTTTTGGCTTCTGTTTTGTTTTACAGACTAGTTTGCTTATTTCTGTGTACTACCATAATATTTTGGTAATGGTGGATTCATATTAAGTTTTAATGTATGGTGTAGTAAATTCTATTTTGTTCTCCCCTAGCACCTATGTATATTCAGTATTTTTATTACACTAATAACACCACTTAATAAATATTCTACCTTGTTTCTGGTAAATTTGGAAAACCATTCACCTACCTTTAAGAAAGTGACACTTCATATGTTAGATGGGCCTGCAGGCAAGCATAGTGTTGTGTAACTGTGTGTGTGTGTGTGTGTGTGTGTGTGCGTGTGTAACTTTTTAGGTGTCATAAACAGTGACGCAGAAGAGAAGCTGTAGAGATCCCAGGATCAAAGTAAGTTTTACGGGGGAAGGATATGCCCTAATACTGTCAGTGTGACAATAAATTCCCAAGGCTAAAAATGTGCCAAAGCATCACAGTAAACTAAATAGTTAAACTTTAATCATCCTTTCTTTTATCTTTTTGAAAATTTTCCAAATCTATAAAAGTATATTGAACATCTATATACTCTTCATGTAAATGTACAAATTGTTAACATTTTACTATACCTGCTTCTGTCTTATCTTTATATATGTTCTATTTTATCTTCAGGTAAATTTCTAGTGTAGAATTGCTCAAAGAAAATATGCATTTGATCTCATCTTAATAAATATATATAACTGCTACTTTCCCGAAAGATTGTCAACTCATGGCGCCACCAACAGCATAGAAGATCCTTAAGCCATGCCATTTGCACATGAATCTTTTTAAAATTGATCCATCGATCTCCAGGGTTAAAAAAAGTGTGTGTGTATATATCAATGTCATTTTGTTTTATTCATTCAACAAATATCTGAACTTATGTGCTATGTGCTATAAGCTAGATATGAAATGGAGAATGGCACACAAATTGCTTCTCTCTCATGAGTTACTTGGCAATCCACATTCTTTGTAAACTGCCTTTTCAAATCTGTCCATTTTCATTAAGTAACATTATTATTATGTGATAACTGTTTTCCCCATTTCTCATTAATCTTACTGAGGAATAAAAGGAGGACTGAATCTTTTATTAAACTGCTTCCTATTGCCACCAACTACTACTTCACATCTTCTGCTTCCTCCCACATGCTCACTCACAAACTCCACTCCCAGGCCATGTCTGAACTCTACAGTCCCTGCAAGTCCACTACAAGCCACACTGTCATACTCTCTCCAACACTCCAGGTTCGTGGTGTTCTCTTTTCCTTTCCCTTTGACTTGCATCTGCTCACATCTTTGCAGTTTTCTGTTGTCTGTTTTTTCAAGATAATTATAATTTAAATAAATATTACAAGTTTTAGTCTACACATACAGTGCTATGAATAACTTCATTTTCCAATTATTTAGTATCCAAAGTGGCCAGATATGTTTTAATTATGGACAGAAAAGGATGGGATAGTAACAAAAGAGGCTGATATAGGTAAGTGGCCTCCATCACCTACTGCAGTTTTTCTAAGTCTCATCCAGCCAATATCAGCATCTACTTGAAAATGTATTTACAGAAGATCTGGACAAATTAAGAAAATAGGCCATTATACTTTTCTACCATTTGGGTTTCTCTCAAGATCCATAGGCCCTCTTGAGGAAAAAAAATTAAAGATATCTGAAAAGGATTAAGAATAGCAAACTTGGAAGAGTGGCAGGATAAACCCAGAGTATCTGGTATGTGCTTGCTTAATAGTGAAATATTGTGTTCTTTCACTCAGTATCAGAAACAAAACTATCACTTTTATTCAATATTATATTAGAAGTTCTCATCAGGCAAACTAAAGAAAAAGTCCCCACCCCTCAGAAGAATGCACTTCAGAGGACAGCACTGGGGCTACGGCTTGGGGAGAGGGGTGCATTGGATTAGAGCACACGGGAGAAACGCAAAGGGATGGAGTAGGAAGAGAGGACATCCTGGCCGCCCTGGTCCCCGAAGCCCCGAGGACAATGTTCCTGCTTGGAGCAGACAACTCACAGGGAGGACAGTAGGGCCAGCCCCACTACAGGACATGGCGTCCCTCACTAAACCATGGCGCTGCGGGGGACAGCACTGGGGACAAAGTGCAGGAATAGTGCACAGTCTGGCCCCATCAAGCTGGGGCGAGGCACTGAGCGCATGCAGCAGAGCGCAGTGGGAGCAGACTGGTGAAACCCCTGGGGAATACCAAAAATAGACATTGGAGACAGAATGTGGCACCCCATCAGACTCAACTGGAAAATACTTGTAAAGGCCAGCAAAGAGACCTTGAACAATTTATAGGTTTTCCATTTTTGTCAATGGCTTTCTTTTTGTTTGGGCTATTTTGTGTTTGTTTCTTGCTGCTGTTGTTACTGTTTTGTATGTTGTGACTTCCTTTGTTGTTTTATTTGGCTGTGCTTGGTTTTTGCACTTATTACTGTATCTGCATGTCTATCTCTAGATAAGATAGGCAGGATAAATAATTCGGAGATGAAAAGAACG